TTCACTCACACACTCACGCTCACTCACTCACACACACGTTCACTCACACACTCATGCTCACTCACTCACACACACGTTCACTCACACACTGTGCTCACTCACTCATCACGCTCACACTCACACACGCTCACTCACTCACTCATCACGCTCACACTCACACACTCATTCACACACCCACACTCACTCACTCACATACTCACGCCGTCTCCCCCATCCCAGGAATGAAAAGGATTGGGAAGTTGATGATTGGAGATGAGTAGCTGCTCGATCGGAGAGCCGTCACAGTGTTCTGAGCCAACAAGCTGCATGAGCCAACTTTGCTTCTCACGGCCGTATTTTTGTCATCGTCAGATCCACGAGACGATCGAATCCATCAACCAGCTGAAGATTCAGAGAGACTTCATGCTGAGTTTCTCCAAGGACCCAGAGGGCTACATTCAAGACTGGCTGAGATCCCAGAGTCGTGACCTGAAGGTAGGAAGCTCCACCTTGAACCTTTCATCAGGGAGAGCTGGGGGAAGAGTTCATCTTGAGCCCAGCTTCAAACAGTGAGGGCCATGAGGCTGGAAACAGGGTTAGAATTGGCCTGCCATGTGGGGGATGTTGAAGCTTTCCATCTTGCAGCCATCAGGACAAATCACAAGAATACCAAAACTACAGGAAAACCAACATTTGTTCCAGCTGGATGGCAAGCGAACTCTCGCAGGGAGAATGTTCTGTTGTGAATAAGTCACCACAAGTTACCGTTAATTCGATTATTTATTAAGAAATCTCAAACAATCAAGTCCTGAAACAATGATTTAAACATTATTGCATGTAGCAACCAAAATAACACCCTTTAAGTAAGCAAGTTAATCTTCACAAAGAGCTTGGCTATTTCCTGATTAATAGTGCAAATTAGCTACGACTCCAACTGACAGTGTCTGTCTCAGGAAGTGTCCAAGGTTCGATCTTTGTGCAGTGGTGTTACAGAATCGCAGGGTCATAGAAATGTACAGCACAGAAACAGACCCTTTGGTCCAACTCGTCCATGCTGACCAAATATCCTAAATTAATCTAGACCCATTTGCCAGCATTTGGCCCATATCCCTCTAAACCCTTCCTATTCATAAGCACATCCCGATGCCTTTTAATGTTGTACCAGCCTCCACCACTTCCTCTGGCAGCTCATTCCATATACGCACCACCCTCTGCGTCCAAAATTGCCCCTCAGGTCCCTTGTAAATCTTTCCCCTCTCACCTTAAACCTATGCCCTCTAGTTTTGGACTCACCTATCCAGGGAAAAGACCTTGTCTATTCACCCTAACCATGCCCCTTGTGATTTTATAAACCTCTGTATTGTCACCTTCAGCCTCTGATGCTCCAGGGAAAATAGCCCCAGCCTTTTCAGCCCCTCCCTATGGCTCATACCCTCCAACCCTGGCAACATCCTTGTAAATCTTTTCTGAATCCTTTCGAGTTTCACATCATCCTTTTTATAGCAGGGAGACCAACTCCACATGCAGTATTCCAAAAGTGGCCCTTACCAATGTCCAGTACAGCCGCAACATGACTTCCCAACTCCTATACTCAATACACTGACCAATAAAGTCTGTTCTTTGAAATTCTGCTGCTGAAGTGTTCTGGTGTCAAATTCTTATGTAGTTTCTCATCTTTCAGGTCTATAGTATGATATTATTGATGACCTTTTAGATTCTTTCATCCAAACTATTAATGGCTCCTCTGGAACCCTAGAGGTTGCAGCTTTGCTGCCTCATCAGAAGCAACTCCTTTGTTCCTTGTTACATTTGGCCTTGACTGTCTGTTTGAAAACCCAGTCTGTCTTGCAGTTAGAGATAGTAAGAACTGCAGATGCTGGAGTCAGAGATAACAAGGTGTAGAGCTGGAGGAGCACAGCAGGCCAGGCAGCATCAGAGGAGCAGGAAAGCTGACGTTTCAGGTTGAGACCCTTCTTCAGAAAACTTCAGAAGAAAGGTCCCGACCCGAAACGTCAGCTTTCCTGCTCCTCTGATTCTGCCCGGCCTGCTGTGTTCCTCTCGCTCCACACTGTCTTGCAATGAACTCTTTCAATTCTTCAGCAGGGCAGTTTTTTGTCCATGTCAGCGGGTATCAAAACAGTTTTACTCATTTAGCTTCAGCTCCCTCTTCTCCCAGGCATGGCTCATTGCTTCCAGTTCCTGTAGAGGTTTGTCCTTGTGTTTATTCCAGACAGAGGTATTACTGATCTCTTCATATGGAACAGTTTCTCCTTGTTTATTCTTTCAGTTACAATTATTAGAGTTCTGAAGTTTATACTATCACAGTTTCTGTGGAGAGTACATCAGTTAATGATGACTGACCATAAACTGCCAGGCAGGTTGACTGATTGGTCAAGGTAATGCCTTGAGAAATGAATCAGTGAATGGCTGTCACCTATTTTGTTGCTGTAACAGGTACATGTTCTTCCTTTGTGCAATGACCAGGGCTCTATCTGTTCATGTATGTAGCTTCCAGCGCATGCAAGTGCTGCCCACTGCAAGCCAGACTGACAATCCAAAATTGGTTGTCAGTGTATTTATTCACATGCTCAAGATTCCAGCAAATGTTGTCCAATTACAGAATCACATCCAATGTTGGACACTGTTGTGATTTTTACCAGTGCGGGCTTGTTGGGTGCAGTCAGTGCCTTGCTTGTTGCAAACTGCCAAAAGAAGAGACATGCTGTTTGATAGAATGCATCAGTCACTGAGATCTACAGCCTAAATATCTGACAGCACAGTGGAACTGAAATTCAAAAACCACATGACTCATTTGTGTGATAGACAGAACGTCTCTTTGGCAGCATCCTGTTAGTGGTGAGCACCACAAGAATTGCTGCTGCAGGGTAGCGGCAGGAAACAGCTAACTTCACCTGTTGCTCCAGGTTTTCAGATACATTCCCCTTGCTCTGAGCTAACTGGGCACATTTCAGGACCAAGAGCGACCATCTTCGGGCCATTTGTGAATTTTTATGATATACAGTGAGGAGTGATCAGATCAGGAAGGCCTAGAATGTTAAAGCTTGGCAGATAACTGTCAGTCAACACCTAACTGATGCATTCTTCACTGCAAAACCTCTATCAATCAGTCATTACTTGCCAACCCAATCAGCACTTTCCTATCATACAGTAGAAACAATGTTTTGCCCCTGAATTGGTATTCTTGCGAGATGTCCTGACAAGTCTGAGGTCAAAAATTTTGAAAAAAAAGGTTTGTTTTCAACGATGCTGCTATTGGTATAGCCAAACGATTAAATGTTACAGACTTGTTGAAGCTCAGTAATCGCTAGCCAATCAGGTTAACCTCGGTGCTGGGAAAACTTGGTGAACAATTAATTAAGGAAAACCAGAACAGATCTGTTCCAGCTAACTTGAGTTTAACTGACTCAATTGAGTATTTTGATTCTTTTCTTTTTCTAATCAGCCTGTTCAGAGATTTTATTGCACACCCTGGAGCATGTGGGACTTAAACTAAGATCCCTGGGTGTTTTGATTCTGTTACACAACGTATGGATTAGGAACAGGAGGAGGTCACTCAGTCCTGTTCCCCCATTCCATAAGGTCATGGCTGATCTGATTACTGTACCTTCCTGCTGAACCCTGATAACTTTCACCCCTCCCTGCCCTCCCCCCCTTATTGAGAACCTGCCCAGCTCCATCTTAAAACGATTCAAACTTTTAGCTTCCACTGGTGTTTGGAGGAAGAGAGTTCCAAAGATTGTTGAGCCACTCCCACTGTCAGAAGGTGTTTGTTGTGGTGAACATTGACCTAGATGACAGGCTGTGGAATTGAGGACTCAGGAACTATACCCTGATACAAAGTTGGCAGAGTGGCACCGGGCAGAACAGTGGTGCACAGTCGGTTATTTGCATGTAGCAGGGTTTAGAGTGAGGTTTCCCTAGACTCAAGAGTGGGACAAATGCCCTGCACCTTGGGTATGCAGGACACAATTTCAGGTTGTGGATGGTGTAAAATTTGGAAGTCTGGTTTACTCATCAGGGGTCAGTGACAGTCGCCAAGATCGAAAGGAAAAATCAGTGATTGGAAACACAGGTGGCAGGGGAAATTCAACACAGCAAAGTGTGAGGAAATACACTTTGAAAGGATAAACATAGACCGACGATAGAAAATAAAGCAGACAACTCTTAGAGAGGGTGCAGGAGCTGGGTATACGTCACAGAACATTGAAGGTGGCAAGGCAAGTGGAGAGAGCAGCTAATAAAGCCTACAATGTCCTTGTCTTTATTAATAAGGCATAGAGTCCAAGAGTGAGGAGTTGATGTTGAACTTGTATAAGACACTTGTTAGACCTCAGCTGGAATATTGTGTACATTTGTGGGTGCCACATTATAGGAAAGATGTGAATGTACTGGAGAGAGTGCAGAAGTGATTTATAAGTACGGTTTCAGGAATGCGGCACTTCGGCGATGATCAAAGAAGTTGGGATTGGTCCCATTGGAAAGGTATTCAAAAATATTACTGGTCTGGTCAGAATCATTACAAAGTACTGGAGAAACCCAGCAGGTCTGGCATTATCTGTGGAGACATTTAGAGTCCTGTGATGCTGCGAACAAGGGTCACTGGCCTCCAAATTTCACTCAGTTTCCCTCTCCATGGATGCTGCCAGACCTGCTGAGTTTCTCCAAAAGTTTTTGTCCCTGATTTCCAGCACCCACAGCTCTTTTGGTTTATCATTAGGAAGAAACTATTCCCATTGGTGGAAGGACCAAGAATAAGTGGTTGTGGATTTCAGATAATTAGCAGAAGAACCATTGGCATCAGAGGGAAAATCATGTTCCCACACCAAGTGGTTAGGGTCTGGAATGTACTGTCTGAGAGTGTGGGGGAGGCAGGTT